GGGCAGCCAATGGCATGGTCAAAAAGTCCCTGATACCCGCAGGCAACAATGATTCGCTGTGTCGCAGAGTCCTGCCACGGAGTTGTTGGGACTGCCCGGTCCTTTTGCTGACGCGTAGGATGGCGGACAGTCTGTTGCCTGGAAGTGACCCGTCGAGCAGATGGTACAGCATGCGGACCCGCGAAATTCTTTGCCTCTGGTCGAGAGGACGCCAGCCAAGGACCTTCAACCTCGCGGGGTACGAGATGCCAGCATGGCCTGGGATCCGAGCATAGATGATGCTTGATGCTCGACGCTGCACACTTTCTATAGGCGGTCGAGGAGATGTCGTTGAGGAGGCGACGACACTGCGTAGTAGTATTCTAACGAGGGTAGGACCAGGGCAGTATAAAGTGTGCGCAGTGCCGCCGGTCCACTTGGCTTTTTGATTCGAGAAACAAAACCCAGACTCCTCCGAGCATTTGCAACAACAGTTGCAATGTGCGCGGAAAAGTTCAAGGTCCGAGAGAAGGTGACTGCGAGTACAGTCAGGTGGTCCGAAATAGTAAGAGGAGTACCTCCGGCAGTGTAAGAGGGTCTGTCGCGTTTTTTACTGTTCGTGAAGCGCATCACATCGCTCTTGGAGACAATGAGACGAAGGTGTTGCGCTGTGGTTCAGTTCTCAACCTCAGCAAGATAACAGCTGTGGGTGATCTGCGTCAGATTGTGACTGACGCCACAATTGACGTATTGTCCGCGTACCGCACCAGGAGACACTTCTCACTGCGTGGCATGTCGTTCACATATAGCAGGAACAGCGTCGGACCAAGGACCGAACCCTGCGGAACACAAGACGAGATGGGTATCCGTACAGAGTGTGTGCCGTGGTACAGAACCCGCTGACTGCAATTACGCAGGAAGCCAGAGACCCAGGTAAATAAGGAGCCCTGTACCCGAGCATGGGCGAGCTTCTCCAGCAGGAGTTGAATGCTCAGGGTGTCGAATGGGTTGCTAAGGTCGAGTTGTATTAAGTCCGAAGTGCCTTGGTTGTCCATGTTGTCGCTAATAAAATGCGTTATGGTTGATAGGGCGGTTTCACAGCTATGTCCTTTACGAAAGCCGTGTTGGCTGTCCGAGAGTCTTGGGGGTAGCTCAGAAATTGGGCGCTAACTACCCCCTGAAATGTCCGGCAAACGATTAAGGTGATTGAAACCGGCCGGTAGTGCCTTGGTTCGTCCACTGACTTCCCCTTTCCCTCGTGGAGTAATGACCAGCGCTTCTTGCCACGCTTCTGGGACGACCCCACAGTCTAGTAGACCCTGAAGTAACTTTGATGTGGTTGGTAGAGCATGGGAGCAGAACAGCTTAAACCAAATGGGATCGCGACCCCATCTGGCCCAGGACTGCAAGAGTTCTTGATTTTGGCGAGTGCCTCCCGCAATGTTTTGTCTGAAAACAGTACCCTGGAAAGTTCTGATCGAACGTCATCTGCATACATAGGCAGGGGTTGTGGGTGCAGATAGTTCAGGTTCGCGTACATTTGGCACTGTGAATCCCGAGGAACTCGGAGGCGGTGGCTGCGAGTTCTGGCTGCGAGTTGACGAGGTGAACGTTTCTTGTTTTTCTTATATTTTTTCTGCGACTTCGGTTGCGCGTGATGAAAAACGAACGGGTGTTTCCTAGGTCATTATAAGTCCAGGGATCCGTTCAAAGCGGTATTTGCTAAAAGTACAAAAATCGCTGCATCTGACAGGGCATTTATGCTCGCCGAGGTTTTTAGTTGTGCGTGACGTATGAGAGTTCAACTACCCAAAGCAGAATTTGCGGCTTGAAATTCGGTTTCTTTCCGCCCGAAAACCGCCGCGTACACCCGGAAAACATAACACTCATTGGCCACAAACAACAGCAAACACGGGGTAAATATCAGTTTAGAACGGGAGCCACTTCGCGCTGCCATACCGCCAAATGGCAAAATCGCCAGCCAAGCCCGCGCCGAAAGCCTTCGGAACGTTCGGAACCGGTCGGATCCTCGAGCCGGTATACGACCACAGAGCCGCCGCGAACATCCGGGACCTTACTACGCTCGCCGTTCTTCGGCGCATCATCCCACTAGCCCCTTCTAGTATGCGCCGTTTTTTCCGCCGCTTGGTGGCGGGTATGTCGACGGTTCATTTGTTTCTTTTCTGACCTAAAATACTGAAGAAAAACTACTTTAATACATAATTGAAGCGGTTCGCGACACTTATATTTTGTATCTCGACTAAAAAAAAAAAAAGAAAGAAAGATTTTAGCGGTGCTGACCAGTAGTATGTCCAGGACCAAAGACGTCACATATCGCGCGCTTTCGGCAACGCGGGTCGCCCTCGTAGGTGAGGTTTTCGCGTCGTCCGGTTAAAATATGACGCACTGATATTTAGTTACTCTCTCCGTACCCGCTGGCTTGCCCGACCCCCAGGAGACGTGGAAACCGCAAAAGAGGTAGACCCTAAAATATGATTGCAGGGCCCCTTGAAAGGGACACTGACAGCGTATTTTTGCTCGCCAAGGTTTTTATTCGTAGATAACATATGAGAGCCCAACCACCCAAAACACAATTTGCAGCTCAAAATTCGTTTTCTTTGCGCCCGAAAACCGCCGATAGAGAACTGACCGGTTTGAGTCGGGCTCACTCTCTTTTCCATTTTTTATGGTTTAGACAAAACCTCCAAAGATAGTCGAAGCCGCGGGTCATCGAATGAACAGAAATTATGATACCCATTATTTGTAGCTTCTAAAAAACTGCAAATACGTTGAATGATAATAATAATAAAAGTTTGCACAGTTACGGGATTTTCAATGACTTTCGCATCGTCTATATTGCTTTCTTCTTCCTCCTCAGTCACGTTTCAATTTCGGTTTCAAACAGTTGCGTTATTTTTTGTTGTTAAAACTATAAGTGACGCGCCAGGGGCGGATTTAGGGGTCAGGCCAGGGAGGGGTGGTAAGCATTCGGCTGGCGGCGGGGGAGGAGGGGGAGTCTGCTGAGATTAGATATTACGGCCTAAACGTTGTCCAGATATATATTTTGCCGTCCCAATATTTGTTATGTCACCAACATCTAAACTTTTAGCTGGTGTATATCAATGATTGCATTACAAAAAGTTGACCTGGGGAAGCTTGGGGGGGGGGGGGGGGGGAAGCGGTCGCCTTCCTCCTCCCCCCCCCCTAAATCCGCCCCTGCGTGACGCTGTAGCAAAATATTGATTGGATAGTCTTCTAACACCGTAATAGTCTAATAGATCGCCTGGCAAAACACAAACAAAATTTTTTGGGGGTGTCAGCCACGTAGTGGCGATATACGACCGCACGCCGATACGATGCTCATCGTATTTACATGCTACGCATTTATAGCGCATATTTTTATTTTAGAGCGCAGCTCTTAGGGGCCCGTTCCCGGCTTGAGCGGCGTCGCCGTCGCCGTCGCCGTCGGCGTAACCAAGGTCATCCCAAGGTCACGTGACCCCCAAGGTCACGTGACCCCTCCAGGTCACGTGACCCCTCCCAAGGTCATCTCAAGGTCACGTGACCCCACGTGACTCCCAAGGTCACGTGACCCCCCGAGGTCACGTGACCCCTCCCAAGGTCATATCAAGGTCACGTGACCCCACGTGACCCTTTGAAGGTCACGTGACCCCCAAGTCACGTGACCCCTCTGAGGTCACGTGACCCCCGAGGTCACGTGGTCTCCTCCCCAAGGTCACGTGACCCCCAAGGTCACGTGACCCCTCCCAAGGTCATCTCAAGGTCACGTGACCCCAAGGTGACCCCCACGTGACCCCCAGGTCACGTGACCCCTCTGAGGTCACGTGACCCCTCTGAGGTCACGTGACCCCCCGAGGTCACGTGACCCCCCTCCCCGAAGTCACGTGACACCCCCCCCCCCCCCCGAGGTCACGTGACCGCCCCCCCGGAGCATATTAAAGAATGAGGGGAGGAGGAGGGGTCTACCCTCCCCTCAGTACCCTTCACTCCTCCTCCTCAAGAGCTGCGCTCCAATTCGGCGTTACAGGGATTTGTAAACGGCTTTCACTTTTTTTTCGTGACTCTTTATATTTGTGCTCTTTACGGCTCTTTTTATATATTATAGGACTTTTTAGAAAGTAGACGTTGCAATTCATTTTTTTTTGTGTGTCTGATTGCCCTGTGAATTTGTAGGTCACCAATGTCCCAACCAAAGCTAATCAGTGTGATCACTGATTAGCTTGTAAGATGACATCCATCTTTCTGCATTTCTCCATCAGTGACTCGATTTATGTACAACTACAAAAAAAACTTTTCGCTGAACCACTGTCTGTAGGGGGTTGAGGACATGCCAAGCTGCTCTATAGCAGCTTTTTTCCTCCAGCTCCCCCATCTTCGATGGAAATAAAGGAATTATTATTATTATTATTATCCAGATTCCCCTCTTGTAATTAAAAAAAAATTATAAGCGATTTTCAAAAATTTCAATGAGGATCATGTTGACCAGCGGAGACAAGAATAGATATGGAAATGAATGGCGAGAGCGCCCTATTTGCTCATTGAAATTTTCCAGATATCGCTGATAAATTTCCAATCGGATAAGTGTTTTTACAACTTTGCTACTGGCCCGATTCGGTAGCGCTACATTTGGGCGGTGGCTGAAGCAGCTGTAGTATCGCGCATTTATTTCTCGCACCTTGTGTTTGCTTGTGTTTGTTTTTCGTCACTCAGCCAAGTGGCCGAGCGATTTCTGCAATAATACTTTAAAAAAAAAAAAAAAAAAAAAAAAATCGAGCTGATGATGATTCATGGTAATAAAACCCGAGACTCAGGAACACAGAAGGGGACGAACAGCGATTTATTTCTTGCAAGCTCGCAATGCAAGGGACAGGCGTGGCGAAAGAGCTAAACGAAACGCCCAGGGAAGTACGGACCCGCTCGACCGATAACTGCTGATAGCTGGCGACGATTGTAGCGAACTCTTCATTCTCGGCGCACAACACTGAACGTATAAAAAATAGAAATGAAGAAAAAGGAGAGAGAAAGACACTGAAAGAGAGAGAAAGGAGTGCGCCGCGCGAGCAAGGAGGAAGGTACGGCGCGAAGCGAGCGGGCGAGCGTCGCAAAATCGTTCGAAAGACGTAGAACGTAGGCGGGACTGGCGAAGATAGGAGAAGTTGCAGTTGACTTCCCGGTCATCGTTGAAGCACGTCACGCTCATTCATTTATTGGAGGTAAGTGGTTCGGAATTCCTGTTTAAGAACGAGTATAATGCGCGGCAGATCGCACATGCTGTCATCAACCACCGCGGATGTTTTGTTTGGTGGTTCTACCAAATTTGGTTCCATACTTTGTGGCGGGACCGGCGGTTGTGAACCATTCTTCCTGTTGTGGTTCGTTGAGATTGTTGTTATGACTTGATCGCCAGCTAACAAACGTCTGTGCTGAAGCGTCTCTATCTCCCACCAGTGCTTCACGTTGCTAACGTTGCTGTTCTCGACGGTCAAAGGACTGCCGTGGAACTAACTAGCCCAGCCTTTGGGGTTTCACGAAAAACGAAATTAAAATGCAAATTGACACATTGCTGGCTGTGGGGTAAACCTCGTGAAAAAGTGTTGTTCTCTGCTTCCTTAGCGACCCGCGTCTTTTCATTGGGAGGGTAAACATTGCGGAGGTGGAACGGATTCCAAGTCTTGCTGCTAGGTTCATCTCATCAGACTATCGCTCGATCTTCATCATCAGCATGGACCTGGAACTGAAGTTTCTTTACTTTGCCACAACATATCTGTCCTGCGTGATACATATCTATCTTCTGCGCCGCCTACAGTTTGCCCGAATACCCAAAGTTTGCCAAAACTAATCTATATCAAAACTAGTTTTTTTTTTCTCCTAATATCATTGAACAGAACTGCTTGCCGTCATTGCTTGTTCAATGTAAGTGTTGACACATTTGAAAACTGCCTGCACAGATGTTGGAATCCTCCCTGCTTGGGCAGCACTATAGCTGCTGCCTTTATTTTTGTAAATATAGAAATAAAACTACTATATATTTATATATTAGTTCCAAACTCCACTTTCGCAAGCCTTCTCTCTCTCTCTTTCTCTGTGCACTCTAGTTCGAAACTCTTGATATTATATGTTAACTATTTATTTTGTGAACAATTTCAAAGTTTGTGTCCCATTCTCTTTTTTTTTTATCCCGTAGGGTCACATTTGCGAGATGGCCGGTATTGAAACAAAATAAAAAAAAACTCCAGCCCCCTCCCATTAAAACAAACAAATGTACTCACAAATAGCTGGTGGCAGCGATAGGTCGCTGCTTGTTCACTGCGTTACCTCTTCCAGTGTGTACACCAACACACATACTCGTCAATCTTTATACTCCTTCTAGAGCACATAATTTGGTTCTGCTATTGACAGTTGTTGAAAGGACGTTTGGAATTTGAGATCTGTCGCAGTAAATCTTGGGAGGGTGTTTCGAAAAATCTTGTGAGGTTACATATATATCAGGTATTTTTTTGTCAGATAATCATATTTATGTTGTTCTATAATCATATTATTGGCTTAATACTGCCTAGATTGACACATTTGCCTTGCATATACAGACAACTTAAGAAACACAAAACGAGAAACCATTTTGAGCTTTACCATTGCTCCACTTTTGTACTTTAACATTTTCTTTATACTTCTCTATCCTTGGCATTGTTCCAAAACATCGCCTCTTTTCTGTTTTCCAGATGCTGTGCCGTGCGAGCATATTTGACTTGGAGCGGAGTCTCAGGCAGACTGTGAAACTGTTTTCGACGTCGGCCCACTGCTTGGCAGACGTGAAGAGGTGCGATCTCCTTGTGGTTGGGGGCGGAGCAGGCGGCATCTCAACGGCCGCCAAGTTCTCTTCAAAATTGGGCAAAGGCAAAGTGTGCGTCTTGGAGCCACAGGATGTAAGTCTAATCTATGTTGCACAAAGTGATGCTCACCTGTCATGCAGAACTCATTGCCTCACAGAATCATTGCTGTGTTGGCAGTCCTGTTGATATCATAGTTTACATTGTCATGCACAAGTGTGCCTTGCAACTCTTCCGCATTATGTAATTTTGTGTATGAAGGTTAATGCTAAACTTGAATTATGTTGCTTACACTGGATTTTGAGCAGAGGAACTGATGGGGAGCTAGCAACAGAGCTAATAAAGTAGCCAAGAATTATAGGTTTTAAGTTGAATTTCCCAAGTTATGTATCTAAACTTGTGGTCCTGCTGTTTAAATATACACTCACATTTTTATCTTTTGTCTGTTCATAATCCAATTTACTGGCACAGCTAGAATGTGTGGGCTGCTTTACAGAATGCTTGACATACCACTCCTTAAATTAATTAAATCCAGCTAATTTTTGGTCAGGTAATTCTGTTTCTGCACCCAGTACAATTAGCAATCAACAAGGTTCAATACCCTAATGAGACAAATCTTGAACTTGAGTATTTTTTTATTTACATTTATAGGAGACAAATAGCTTAATCTAAATTATCTGTCTCTTTTTTTTTTCTTTTTCCACTTGAATTTGATTATACAACTTGCTAAAAGAACAATGGATCGAGCACTAGGGAAATAGAGCACCAACAAGAAATCAAGGTACATCTTGTGTCATCATTGCGCCTTTGATTGTTTCAGGCACACTGCTACCAGCCCTTGTGGACGTTGGTTGGAGGTGGTCTCAAACCGGCCTCTGCTTCCATTCGACCAATGAAAGAAGTGATGCCCAGCAATGCGCTCTGGATCAGAGATCAAGCAGAGATGTTTGTTCCACAGGAGAATGTGGTGGTCACCAAGGGAGGACTCAGGGTCAGCCAATTTGCAGACATCCTACTTTGGACACTTGTTTTCAGTTACTTTTTCTTCTCAGTGCAGTGTTGGCAGTGGTCCAAAGTGGAAGCTGCATTTCATTGCCCCTGGCACGACTCACTGAAGCTTTTTATTTTTCTTCCTTCTCATGCTTGCAGATTAAGTATGACTTCCTTGTTGTTGCTGCTGGCATTCAAGTCCGCTTTGACATGGTGAGTGGGCTTTGATGTAACATGCATACTTAAAGGATGTTTTTTCATATGCCAGGCATACAAAATACTGCTTACTTATACCATTCTCAATGTCTCTATCTTGAAAGATGCTACCTGCCATATGTGGTTTTAGAGAACAGAAAAAAAAAAAAAAAGACATAAGGTTTTTTGTTTTGGTTGATGTTTAAATCCTGAATAAGGAAACAAAAAAAAATTTTGAAAATGAAAAAAAAAAAAAATCTAATTTTCTAGGGTTAGTGAAATCCTCGAGCATAATTCGAGACTTGAGACAGGAAAACTTCGTAGACAAGGTGGATAACAATGAAGTTCAAATTTTGCATTTTGGCTTTATGAAAGTGGACTGTAAGAAAACACATGCAGGAAATTAGAGCAGTCGGAAATCACAAACCCGTCACGAAAGCAGGCATCGGTGATATCCACATGGTTGTCCTGCCTTTCTGCCTCATTTTAAGGTTCACAGAATATGGGCTTGATGCACTACACAATGCTTGCAATATTCTAATGTAGTACATATTTCACTTGAAGTTAATGAAACTAACCATAAAATAATTCTCTTACCTTACTTTTTCCTAGACAAACTTTTTATGTCGTAAATAGGGTTTTGTGTTTTTGGGGTTTATGTTGCTTCAAATTTAAAGTGTCTTTTTTTTTTTTTTTGTGGTTGGAGGGTATTATTTTTCCCCTTAAATCTGGTGTTTTTCAGTGTCAACTTTTGGTGTCTATAAAAGCCTTTATCGGGGGTTATGTTAAAGAAAACAGGACATGGTATTCCCCAACCTCCAGGGAACATGTGTATGACCCGTATACTTAAAAAGCTTTCCCATAGAAAAAGGAAACAAGACAATGGGTGTGGTTCTCAAAGAGAAAAGCTACCTTGATGACTATTCACTTGGGTTTGTGTTTCATATCAACACGAAATTGAGCTCAAGCTAAGAATTTCTTTCCCTGAAACTTGTTTTCTTTTTTTTTTCTTTAAATTCAAGTACAGCTTTAATTTTGGATATTTTAGTTACCTAAACACCAAACCCTAGTTGTAAAGAACCGAACAAGTAGCATTAGCCCTTACTTACATAGAATAGCTTTTGTGAAAATGGCATCAGTAAGGCACTCACATTTCTCCTTCCTCCTATATCATTTGCTTCCTTGCCTGCCAACTGATAGTCACATGTATACGTCCAGCACCATTCTTAAAGCTGCAAACAAAAAGGGAGCTAAGTCTAGGTGATACATGATCTGATCAGTTCAGCTCGGCTCAATTGAAGACAAACAGGATTGCGCGCTAGAATTGGTATTAGTATTGGTGTTTATTGCGTGCCCAAAACACTGTGAAGGCTTTGATATTGGTGCGCATAAAAGTCACAAATGACTTCAACATGCAAAGATGTGAAATACAGGAGTGACACATCAGTCATAATAAAACAAATTACAGACACAACTCGGCATTCGAAGAAAGCAAGGCATGGAAAAGAAATCATACTGCACAAGGCTATTACAAAAAAGTTGATTTCTATGCATTGGTGACCCTTTAATCTGCTTGTCAGGATAAAACGTATCGCAGAGTCGCGTGTGTTTAGGTGACACGTTTAAGCTTGTACTACTCAAAAGATCAAGTACATCGAAACAATCTTGTATGAGTTCCTGTAAAAACACTACATCTCGGCAATGCCTGTGGTCAATTAGAATTTTGAGGTTTAAAACTTTAACAAGAAATTTATACTCAGAGTAGAGTCTCCTGTCAAAATGCCTATCGTAGACTATGCGTCAGATACATAGCCAGGGGGGGGGGGGGGGGGCGGCCGGCCCATGGGGCCCGGGCCCCCCCCCCCTTCCTTCCTGAAATCTTCCATTTTGCTGGGGCCTCCTCTCCCCCCTCCCCCTCATGCAGCATTTTGTCGTGGGCGACTCCCCCCCCCCCCCCCCCCCCCGAAACAAAATCCTGGATACGTGCCTGCTATACGTATCAGATGCCTTTGTACCATTTCATTGCGTCTTCAATCGCTATGTGATTGAAAGTTCCACACAACAGACGCAAGTTCAAGTCGTGGCCTAACCAAAGCACAAATTAATTGTAGTATCAGGTGCCTGGAAGTGTCAAGTCAAACGTGAGATCATCCCGAGTACTTTAAGACTGGTACCACATATGTTAGTGACATGAGATTTTAATAATAGTTTACAGTCTACTAGCACTGCAAGGTCCTTGACTGCATCAGTTCGAGCAATAGTGCAGTTATCCAACCTGTATTTAAAGTGTAAGGGATTATTGCATCTTGTTAGCGAGATTACCTTAATTTTGTTGGCGTTCAAAGGCAAGTGGTTTGACAGGCACCACTTATAAATGCTCAGTGCATCAGATTGTAGCGCTTCACAGTCTTTTTCGGAATGAAAATATGAAAATACCTTTATATCGTCAGCAAATAAAAGCAACCTGGCAAATGTAATACACTTTGAAATATCATTAATGAATACAATGGGACTCAGAGCCCCAGAAGGAGCAGAGCTTATAAAAAAGGAAAAGCTCCTGCAGCCGAAAGCTGAGTCATTACAAAGACAGTGACGTCACGGTGAGTTAACCTCACGAGGTAGAGAAGTATCACCTGGTACCACCAGCCTCTGTTGCACGATTCTTTCCATTTGCAATTTCTATCTGATCTTGCAAAAAGCTGCAAACTGTAACTGCTCGTACTCTGCATACTATATCTTATAATGATGTGGCGATCCATTGAGACCATCCATTTGCAGATCAAAGGATTAGAAGATGCCTTGAAGACGCCCAACGTGTGCTCCAATTACTCGTACAAGACCGTTACTAAGACCTTCGGTGCAATGCAGAACTTCAATGAAGGCGCTGCCATCTTCACCTATCCAGCAACACCCGCCAAGTGTCCCGGTGCTGCGCAGAAAATCATGTACCTCACAGACGCCTACCTACGTAAGGTAGGCATCTTTGTTCGCACTAGTCTGGCACTGACTGGTGCGATGCCTGCCACCTTGGTTGCTGAGGTGTTTATATCAATATACCATTTCTATAAATATTGGTTTGAGAGTGTATGATATGAATAGGGGTGCCCTCTTATTGTGGGCATGTACCTACTTCCTGTTTTCTCTGTCGAGCTGCAGTGATCTTGATAGCGAAGTCACTTAAGCACCCATTGTGTATTATCCATTGTGGATTGTCCTCCTAGAGAAGTTACCTATAAGCCCCCGTTGTGGATTATCCTGTGTGGATTATCCCGTTCAGAGAAACTTTCCTTTTTGCGCTCAACGAGCACAGAAAGAGTAAGTCATGTTTTTGAGAAAAGTTGATTATTATGTATCTAGTGGTTGCTTGACGTCCATGAGATGTTAGGCAAGACAGCAGTTGGCATGCCACAAGCTTTATGTCCTGTTCCACCTTACGTCTGGCCGCAGCGAATGCTACGAGCTATTGAAGCCAATCCAAGGCTGTATCAGTGTTAGGTGACCTTGGAGAGGAGGTGCAGTGACGGGCGGAGAGCGTATCGGATGCTACATTCAGAGAGCTGGATTGGCTGGGATGGCTCGTAGTGTCCGCTGCAGTCAGACGCAAGGTGGAGCGGAGTATAGTGTGGGTGCCACGTCTTTGGGTGGAAGCCTGTAACTTTTTTTATCACGGTTGGTTACATAAAAAAAGAAAGGAATAAAATATTGTAAGGGTATATTCATTTCATAGAGAACCAAATTTTTCAGCATGGGCTTTGCATTGTAAGATATCAGAAAAGTATCTGTTTATTAATTCTTGAGGTCTTGCTGATAAGGCATGCGTGCCTCTGCGAAATGACAGCTCAGACTGGAAAGGACATCACAAAGAGAGAAGTGTGGACTAGATTGCACTTGTAGCCTTCACTGTCCTGTCAGCTTAATGGAGGCGTGAACTTTCAGCTCCAATCAAATCAAATAGTGCCAAATAATGACAAAGATGTTGAATGTTGAATCGAATAACCAGAAGTCTTTTCACAACATTTGCGAAACTATGCATATGAAAAAGCCGCATAGATAAGAAAAAAGGCCCTTCGTGTTCATTCTCCTTCAGGGCACGCAGAGCGAACGGAAGATAGCATGAAAAAAAAAAAAACAACACATAAGACATTGTTGATAGATGTGTCCACCCATCCATGTATGAATAGAATACGCATCATGCAACATGCTGAATAAATGGGCGGATAAAGCTGTTTAAATCTGGTGAAAAAAAAAAAAACCAAATTCGCAGAGGTGGGGTTGAACCCTGGATCCCTAGGTCTTGCAGCGCGAGCTTTCACTCCACGTGCTCGGAGCTAACACACTCGGCCACCGATCCCCGGAATCGGGTGACATTTTACATCACGTAGCGGGGCATCTTGCTCTATACCGCGAGGATCGAGACTAGTTAGCAGAAGAGACAGATATAATTATCGCGGTTATTTGTAGTTTGATAATAATTTGTCATTATGGACGTAACAACCGAAAATGGGTTTATATAATGCTCAGGGCTGGCTGCAGCTGATGTTTGAATTAAAAAAAACATGTTTTTCAGGCTTTTGTTGAGCATCTAAGAAGCTTCGAGTACTTCATTCGAGGAACACAGGAAACAAACCATACTTTGAAACAAACCAGGGTGTTGAACCGGAACCAAACCGAACCGAAAACCGGAACCGAACCGGTATTTTTTCCGGAACTGAACCCGAACCCGAACCGTTATATTGTTATCGTGATGAACCCGAACCGGAACTGAACCGGAAAAAAAAATAACGGTTACCGGCTCATGTCAAGACAGTTCTGCCATGCGCTGTTGACAATGAATGTGCTATCAATGCCATTTGTTTTTTAAGTCCCGTCAACTGACACTAGGGATGTCGCAAACCACCCTAGGTTCGATTTCGAAAGGTTTCGATATTTGCGAAGCGAACTGAGGTTCGATTTCGAAAAATTCGCAACTTTTGACCACAGCGGAGTTTCGAAATCGAAAATTTCGAAGCTTCCACGGTTTCCAAAATTTCGAATTCGAATATTTCGAATATTTTTTTACTTCAGGTTCGATAAATTCGAAGATCTCGAAATTCTTTGTAAAAAAAATTCGAAAACTTCGAACGCTTCGAATTTTTATAGACATGAAGTTCGAACAATTCGAAGATTTCGAATTTCTTTTTGCATAAAGTTCGAAAAGTTCGAAGGTTTCGATTCTCTTTTAACGCAAAATTTAAAAAAAAAAAAAAAAAAAAAAAACTTAGAAGATTTTGATAATTTTTCTAATCCAAGTTTTCAAAGTTCGAAGTCCGATTTTCAAGTTTTTCCACAGTTTCAGTTTCAAATAACGTTTTCACGACTCAATGGTTTTCACGAAATCAAGTTTAGAAAAGTTAGGGTGTGATATCCAGATTCTGCGAAGTTGGTCAGGCAATTAAATGAGATGACGAGTGTCCGGGACGTGCTAGAATATTTGCCAGTGCAGAATTGTGACCGCCAGCCCCGGGGGGGGGGGGGGGGGGGGAAGGGAGGGAGGGAGGGAGGAAGGGAGGGAGGGAGGGAGGGAGGGAGGGAGGGGGGGAGGGAGGGAGGGAGGGAGGGAGGGAGGGAGGGAGGGGAGGGGAGGGGAGGGGAGGGGAGGGGAGGGGGGGGGGTCTTTAACCTGCATCACGCAGTAGTGATTGCGCGAACACACTGTTTTACGAGACTCATCCAGTTCGAAACGGCCAGGGGCGAGCAGGAGGTTGAGGCTCAGAAAAACCTTGAAGCGACCTGGCAAACTACCTCGCCACCCCTTGCACGCTGGTAGTAATCCGATCCGGTGAAGTTTATTTTCTGGGACGGAGGAATCGCCTCGCAAAAAGCACAAAAGCCGACACAACTCGAGGTCGAGGAGCGTTCTACCATACAAGTGGCGTCGGAAGAGGAAAAACGGGGGGAAAGAGGGTAGCGGGGGGGGGGGGGGGGGGGCTTCAGCCTCCTTTTCCTCCTTGCAGGTATTTCGAACTGTTAAAGAAAACAATACGGGGAAAGAGGGCGTGGTCGAGCTTATTTTAATCTGAAATTATTTATGCATATGTATAGCTACTGTCGCTCTTCACTGCATAAAAGGTTGCGTAGATGGTCATTGTTAGAAACTCGTTGTCAGAAGGCACTGCTCGTCACATGCTTAGTGGTTCGGAAGTTCAAAGCTGTCTTTTCGACCTAAACACCTGTGCCAATGGTAACAAAAAAAAAAAAAAAAAGAATAAATGCGGGAATAAAAAGCAGGAGAAAAAAAAAAAAAAAAACTATCAAGAATTTGTTGGAAGTGTTCTATTCTTGCACATTCAGAGGTTCAGAACTTCGAAACAAGTTTCTTTTACCAAAATGTGTACAGGCTAAAAGAAACACGTCCCAGAAACGTGAAGCGAAAAAAAAAAAAAAGTTTTCTTTTAATGACGTGCTGAACTTGAACACTATTAGAAATCTTCTCCCATGAGTTAATTTATTCCTTAACGTGAAAAAACAATAAATATATTATTTCGTATTCTGCAGATGGCAATGATATGTACTGTCTGTTGTGTTAATTTAAATGCGATACCGCAAACAACTTAGACGAAAATAAATATCAAGTTTAGGTTATAATTGCATGCAGATACATGTTTGGACATTTCTTCGAAACTCACGTTGAATAACAATAATCACATCTTAAGACGGCACTTACCTAGGCTATACATAGATCATTCTTAAAAGTATAACATATCTACCATAAATAGCTCCTGCTGCAACGTGCTTCAAATCTGGCACAAACGATAATCGTCAAAAACCCGTCGTCCTTCCTCGCCCCTTCGGGGATTTATTTCTTTAAACCTAAGCATGCCAGAACATTGAAATAAACGACATTGTCTTTCGTAAGGAACGCAGCACCGCGTGTAAAAGTTCGAGAAAAAAAAAATTACGAATGTACCCCACTACTTGAAATCAAATGAAACAGTCCGCCGGTCTTTCGAAGTTCGACGAACGTCGAACTTTTACCCTAAAAGTTCGAAGTTCGTCGAACTTCTGACTTTTCAGAATCCGAAAGTTCGAAACTTTTCGAATTCTCTTGATAAATAAGTTCGAAAGTTCGAAATTCATTGAATTTTTTGGTTAGTCAAGTTCGAAAGTTCGACAAGCATCGAACCTTGCAGCGCAATAAGTTCGAAAGTTCGAAAAAAATCGAATTTTTTAGCGTAATAAGTTTGACGGTTCGAAAAGCGTCGAACTTCTTAGCTTAACAAGTTAGAAAATTCGACCTCCGTCGAATTTTACGATATAGACAATTCGAAAAATCGAAATCTTTCGAACCTTTCGAACCGCTTGATTCGATCATCGAAACTTCGATTCGAAAAAAGTTCGCGGCATCCCTTAGTGACACACACCTCGCTTACATATTTTTCTTCTCCACTCAGTCTTAGGAATATAAACGCTGCATCCATGAATCTTGACAAACACTGCATCAATGAATCTTGACATAGGACCAGCTGCGCTGGTCGCGGCTTGCATGGAAGAAAAAAAATTGAAAGGCCGTGAAAAAAAAAAAAAAAATCGCGTCACGGGATTTTATTTTTTTACAATCTCGTAAATCGTAAATGCTGCTGTGTACTCATTTTATAACACGTTTCTAGAACGCGCGAGTTCTTGAAGCTTGCTTCCATCGGAATGAGAAAAGAAAAGGCTGTGGAGTTTGATAATAATGCATCCGGTTTCGTATAGGCACTTAGAAGCTAACGTATTTGTGAGACAGCGAACTCTTCTATTTTAATATTTATCCTATTGCGTCCTTCTGGCGTTGCGTTCGGTGAAGTGTTTTTCATATTCTGTATCTTGTTTAATGAAAACTTATTTAAGGGTCTAATTTCAGTTACCGAAGGCTAGTTCAAATAAAGAAAGCTGTATTTTCTCCCCACTGTTCCTTCAATTGCTTACACGCCAAGGTGGCGGGATAGTTAGCG